CAGCAAGCGGACCTGACCTAGGGTGGATTTTATATTGGGTTTTTTAGGAATTTGAAAGACGCAACTCTAAATTTGGTTTAATTCGGTTTTAAGGGGGGGATTGTATATATGTTTTGGTTTTAAGTATGTTGTGCGCCGCCCTGAGTCCCGTCGGGAGAAGGGCGGCATATAAATTGAATTAAATAAATAAATAAATAAATAAATAAATAGTGTGCAGATGATGCTGTGGGTGTGGGTGGAGGGCGTGACTGCCATGGCGCTTCAGGGCTGCCTGGGTGATCTACGGTGGGCATGGAGGCGGTGCGTGGGTGGGCGGGGCAGGGGGCGGGCGGGGTGGAGCAGGCAGTGCGGGAGTTGGAGCAGGGACGGGGGGCGGTTTTTGGGCACTTAGTCTCTAAAAGGTTCGCCATCACTGTTCTAAGGTTTCCCCAATCCTAAAGCAAGTTTACTTTTATCTTCTCAAAACAGACGGTTGCTATATGTGCCTGTGCACATGTCATTAATGCACTTTGCTGCTCTCTAATGGACATAATGGACACTGTATTCATTGTGGGTCTTCTATATTTCAACATGCTTCCGTTCCCTTTTTCCTCCCCTCCCCTCTTATCCTCCTTTGTCCCTTTCCTTACTGCTTAGAAGAGAGATCTCAAGGCTGTACAAGATAGCCCCGTGGAAATGTCAATCCCGTGGGTGGCTGCAGTAGAAAATGTTATACAGCTTGCCCTCGTCTTAGCAACAGTTTGTTTAGTGACTGTTCAAAGTTACAACGGCACTGAAAAAAAGTGACTTATGATAGTTTTGCACACTCACCACCATTGCAGCATGCCCATAGTCATGTGATCAAAATTCAGACACCTGGCAACTGGTTCATATTTATGACGGTTGCAGTGTCCCGGGGTCATGTGATCACCTTGTGCAACCTTCTGGTGAGCAAAGTCATTGGGTAAGCCAGATTCACTTAACACATGTGTTACTAACTTAACAAATGGAGTGATTCACTTAACAACTGTGGCAAGAAAGGTTGTAAAATGGGGCAAAACTCACTTAACCACTGTTTTGCTTAGCAACAGAAATTTTGGGCTCAATTGTGGTCATAAGTCGAGAACTACCTGTATTCCAATTATGGATCATTAGGAAAGAGAGAATATTAAGGAATCAATTATATATAACACTTTATATAATGTTTAAGGCACAATACTTTACCAGACCGTGTTCAGTCTAATCACTGTCTCAAAAATGACTTCATAGACCTATAAAAGCTTCTAGAAAGGTCTACTAAAATTATCCAAGTTAAATGAGGTACGACAGATAGTAGGAAAAGCTGGATACTACAGTTTGAATTATGCAGTGAAGATGAATTTTCAATTTAAGACTGCTAAAAGGAAGCCCTTTATACTTAGCAAATAGCTAGTCTATGGAATTCTCTACCACAAGATGTAATGGCAGCTGCCAACTTGGAAAAGTTTAAAAAAATTAGACAAATTCATGGTGAACAATCCTGTTTATGGCACCATAGTTTAGCTTTATTTTCAAAGACAGCATGGTTCCCAAAGCAGTTGTTGAAGAATACAAGTGATAAGGGGGATGTCTTGCTTGAGGTCCCATCAGCATCTAAAACAGCACACTAAACCAGATAAAACTCATCAGCTCTTTTAAAATTAAAACAAAGCTAATGACAGACTCTGCCATATATTTTCCAGCTGTAAGCTCTCCTATAATTATTTTCACATGCTCCTTTCTCCAGTATATTTAGCAAACATAAAAGTATAAACTATGACCATCATTTTTCTCAATATATCAAGAGAGACAAAGCAACACGCACACAGAATTATGGCACGAATTATTTCCTATCAGTTCACATCAGTATATTTTATGGTAACTGTTTTCACCTCAGTAAAAAATTCATAGGAATCTTTAGCTCCCTCTCTACCTATCCCTGAGGCTTTCATTCCCCCAAAGGGCAAATTCAGATCTCTGATAAGCCAACAATTGGTCCACACCAATCCAGACTGGAGTCTTTTAGCAACTCGATGTATCCGGCCCACATTGTTTGACCAGACTGTGGCTGCCAGGCCATATTTGACTCCATTGGCTCTCCTAATCACTTCCTCTTCTGTGTCAAACACCATTACACAAG